ATTTTCTATAAGCAAGCATTTAACTGAATGATTAATTCAGGTTTTTTTTTTGCCACGGCTAATCACATGACACAGATGGGCTGTGATTGGCCCAGCCTGTGCATGTGATCACTGTGACCATTCACAGCTACACACACTTGTATACAATAGATGGCATGAAAGGAAGCCATCCATTGTTTACAACTGTCATGTGACCTGCTGTGATTAGTCACAGCAGTTCACATGGTACTATCAGTGGGGCCGGTACACAAATCTGTCTTCGGCTGTGTCCGAGATACATAGCCGGTGACAAATCTCACCACAGCATGGCACTGAGGGCACATGCAAGGTGCTATCTGGGATTGACGAGAGTCCTGCCTGGCCGTCATTTTCCTATAGGCTGGGCGGGAAGTGGTTAAAGGGGCAGTCATTTTTCATTGCTTAAAGTAAAAAAAAAAAAAGAAAAATTCCTTTAAATATCATGCCTAGGGGTCCCCTTAAACTACCTGCAAAGCTGCACATCTGTACAATGTATAGAACCTGCTGCAGCAGGACTGACTTTTTTTTCTTAAATGATATTTTTATTATTATTAATAAAAACTGTTGGTTTCTCCTCCCCTAATTTATACCAGACTCTTTAGGTCTGGTAAGAAGGTTAGGAGAGATCCCACAGTACAATTGTTTTTTTTTTTAAATGCGTGGGGTTCCCCCTAAAAGCCATTCCAGGCCCTTTAGGCATGGTAGGACTTTTAAGGACAACCCCACCTCCCAAAAATAGAGAGGGAAAGTGTGTGGGGTTCCCCCTAAAAGCCTTACCGGCCCCTGGTAGGACTTTTAAGGGGAACCCCACCCCCCCAAAAATGAGGGGAAAAAGCGTGGGGTTTCCCCTAAATTCATACCATACCCTTGATTCGAGCACAGGCCTATGGTCAGGTGCTTTGCTTTGGCCAATCACAATGCACATGTTTGCCTGCCAAACGCCATTACTGTTCGTGTGTTCAATGAATGTTCAAGTCGAACATTTGACTCGAACAATAAGGACATCACTATCAGAGTCATGGCTTTCTGCTTGGAGTGGAGGGGAGAATCTTTGATCTGTCAGTTCTTAGTGTATAGCCCATACTTCTCTTAACCCTTTCACTTCCTGATCTCTCTGTGCATAACCTATACAGTTAAAGTGTTACTAAAACCAGGACCTTGCATTCATTATATCCAGTCTTCCACAGTACACAGAACATGGAGATGCAATTATTTTAGTAAATATAAACTACTAAATACCTTTTCTCATCAGCACTATATAGCAGTCCTGTGAGTTCTATCAGTGTCTGGCCAACCCCTGGTTAATCTCGTAGGAGGGAGTTTTCATTCTCCTCTGACTGTCCTATGAGTCTGCATGATTCCCTGACCCTCTGTCTGGACAGTGCTGATTGGCCCTGTGCTGATCACATGCACCCTCCCAAAAAAGAAAAATAACCTCTATAGCAATACACACAAAACACAGCATGTGCAGACTTACCACTGCTGCACTATGGCAGATGGACTGGGGACAGTAGAAGAAAGGGAGGATCAGAGAAGTCAGGATCAAACAGTTTTGTTGCACAATGCAGAGGGTTAACCCCCCTAGGTTCCCTAGTAGGTTTAACAAGTATGATTTACTGATTTTACTGTTGTAGGCTTAGTAACACTTTAATGTAATTAGTGCACCAATACCAAGCCCCATGTTTTAACCCCATCAATACTAGAACGTGCAAAAAAAATCAGATCACCCTGGGGTGTCTGCTTTCCAAAAACGGGTAATTTGGGGTGATCGTACTGTTCTGGCATTTTTATTTGCTATGTTATAAAACAGAAAGTAGGAAAAAGTTTTTTTTTTTCAAAAAGTTATATAAAATTCATTTAGGTACTGTGTTGCATGACCAAGTAATTGTCAGTGAAAGCATCACAGCACTGAAAGCTGAAAACTGAAAATATGACCTGGCGATGAAGGGGGTGAAACATACCCATACTGAGGTGGTGGTTAAAGGAGTATGACTTTGTTTAATCAAGTCTGATAGTATTGTGTAGTGAAGTGCTTCTGTGATGTCACGGGTCCCTGATAAACTGAGGCCGAATTTAAGAAATATTGATCCATGCCACAAAATGGCTTTATTGCATACAGATACACCCTATGAATCAACACCAAAGTTATAAAACATCACTGAACCTCTTGACTGTTATGTAACATTGTTATAGCACAGTAAAACTGGTCTTCTTGTCTGTGTAGATTAGTTTTAGCAAGTATTTTAGGTCATTTTATAGTACATCACATATGGATATTCTACACAAGCTCTTGACTTTATTTTAACAGCACTTGGAAAAGTCAATTAAATGCAAACTAATCCAATATGTATAAAAACATTCATCTTTTTATTCCTTAAAAAGGCAATACGTTCAATCCCACACCTTCCAGACAACAGCTGGAAGTGCTAAAGCTGTGCAGGTGGACATTAAATCATTGTAACTCATGGAAGAATTAGAGAAACAGCTGCACCAATCACTTGACGAGGGCTCAGAAAGGTCTAAACCTGTTAACGTGCTCAGTCAGAGCTTGTTCTGCAGAGTCTTCCCATATACTGGCCAGTCATATCACAAACCGCTTTCATATAAATACAGGTGTTATGTTAAAACAATTTGCTTTGCAAATTGTCTAACAGACCTTCAACATTTATTCTGACTTCAGTGTGTTGTTAAAGAAACACAAACTTGCATTTCAAGATTTGAGTTTTGTATTAAAATATACAAGTATTTAAAGCTTTTTTGTTTTCATTTTGGATAGTGCAGGGGAGAGTTAGAACCCCTGTCAGGGTTTTATTGTTGTTTTTGTCCTGTCATAGATGGCAATGAATTCAGAGTGTCCATACTGGGCACATGTTCCTCAATGCACTCTCTCCATGGCCATTGTGCCTGTCACACAAACAGCCATGAGACTAAGGAGTTTTGTAGTGTAGTGAGTGCCGCCTGAAGGATAACTGAGAGACTACTACCCCATCAGGTCTGCTTTCCTTTTGATTGACAACACATGTCGGTGGGTGAATCCATAGCCACCATTCCATCCAATAGCAGCTTCCAAATCCCTCATTGATGTCCACTGTCATCAAACGTCAGGTGGACCTGATGGGGAACTAGTCTCTCAGTTCGCCAACAGGCTCTGTGCACCCAATGGAAGTTGCAGCTTTGGGGACTAGCTCCCCATCAGGTCCACCTTTGCTGTGAGCTCTTTCCAGGTATAGGCATAGCCATATATAGGGAATGAAAACCCTTTGTTTACAATTACAGTGGATATAAAAAGTCTACACACCCCTACTAAAATGTCAGGTTTCTGTGATGTAAAAAAACGAGACAAAGATAAAGCATTTCAGAGATTTTTCCACCTTTTAATGTGACCTATAAACTGTACAACTCAGTTGAACAACAAACTGAAATCTGTTAGGTGGAGGGAAGTAAAAATAAACAACTAAAATAATATGGTTGCATAAGTGTGCACACCCTTAAACTAATACTTTGTTGAATCACCTTTTGATTTTATCCCAGCACTCGGTCTTTTGGGTATGAGTCTATCAGCATGGCACATCTTGACTTGGCAATATTTTCCCACTCTTCCTTGCAAAAACACTCCAAATCTGTCAGATTGCGAGGGCATCTCCTGTGCACAGCTCTCTTCAGATCACCCCACAGATTTTCAATTGGATTCAGGTCTGGACTCTGGCTGGGCCATTCCAAAACTTTAATCTTCTTCTGGTGAAGCCATTCCTTTGTTGATTTGGATGTATGCTTTGGGTTGTTGTCATGCTGAAAGATGAAGTCCCTCTTCATGTTCAGCTTTCTAGCAATAGCATGAAGGTTTTGTGCCAATATTGACTGGAATTTGGAACTGTTCATAATTCCCTCTACCTTGACTAAGGCCCCAGTTCCAGCTGAAAAAAAAACATCCCCAAAGCATGATGCTGCCACCACCATGCTTCACTGTGGGTATGGTGTTCTTTTGGTGATGTGCAGTGTTGTTTTTGCTCCAAACATATCTTTTGGAATTATGGCCACAAAGTTCAACCTTGGTTTCATCAGACCATAACACATTTTCCCACATGCTTTTGGGGAGACTTCAGATGTGTTTTTGCTAAATGTAGCTGGGCTTGGATGTTTTTCTTTGTAAGAAAAGGCATTTGTCTTGCCATAAGCCCATAGCCCAGACATATGAAGAATACGAGAGATTGTTGTCACATGCACCACACAGCCAGTACTTGCCAGATATTCCTGCAGCTCCTTTAAAGTTGCTGTAGGCCTCTTGGCAGCCTCCAAGACTTTTTGCTGTAGAATGCAACTAAGAAAATGTCAGGAAAGAACTACTAGAACAGCTGAACTTAATTTGGGGTTAATCAGAGGCACTTTAACCACTTGCCTACAGGGCACTTATACCCCCTTCCTGCCCAGGCCAATTTTCAGCTTTCAGCGCTGTCACACTTTGAATGACAATTGCACGGTCATGCAACCCTGTACCCATTTGAAATGTTTATCATTTTCATGAGACAGATAGAGCTTTCTTTTGGTGGTGTTTAATCACCTCTGGGTTTTTTATTTTTTCTTAAACAAACCAAAAACCACTGAAAATTTTTGAACAAAAACATTTTTTCTTAGTTTTTGTTATAAAATTTTGTAAATAAGTGATTTTCTCCTTCACTGATGTGCGCTAGTGAGGCTGCAGTGATGGGCACTGTTAGGCTGCACTGATGGACACTGATGAGGAGGCACTGGTAGGTGGCACTGATGGGCATTGACAGGCATCACTGATGGGCACTGAAAGGCAGCACTCACATATGGCACTGATAGGCGGCATTGATAGGCAGCACTGACTGGCATTGATAGGCGGCACTAACTGGCACTGTTAGGTGGCACTGACTGGCACTGTTAGGCAGCACTGATAGGCAGCACTGACGGGCACTGATAGACGCCACTGATAGGTGGCACTGACTGGCACTGATAGGCGGCACTGATTGGCAGCACTGATAGATGGCACTGACTGCATTGATAGGTGCCACTGACTGGCACTGATAGGTGTCACTGAAAGGCAGCTCAGATGGGCACTGATATGTGGCATTGATGTGCACTGGTAGGCACTGATGGGCACTGGCAGGTGGCATGGATGAGCACTGACAGCTGGCACTGATGAATACTGACAGGTGGCACTGCTGGGGCTACACTGATCATCAAGGCACACTGATCATCAGTGCCCTGATGATCAGTGTACATGTCCCCTCTGAGGGATGCCAATTACCAGCTCTGCTCTCCTCTCGAGCTGTCAGCTGTGATTGGACACATTATAATCCAAAATGTGATGAAATTAAATAAATTAAAATATAAAATTAACCACAAATAATAGCGCTACCCTCAAACACAAAAAAAAAAAAAAATAAATCCACCACCAAATATGTGCATTAATTAGTAAATTATATATAAATATAAGGATAAAGAGTCCTCATAGAGTCCATTCAATAAAGTCCACACATCAATATTGCATATGATCCTCAGTAAATGAAGCTATGAGTCTTCCATCACCAGTACAAACTCCAGTGCTTTAACACCCCATCAAATTGCACACTCACCAAAAGCTGGTGAATAACCAGCATATCTTTGTTTATCCAACACTCCACAGCTTAGCTCCAGCTTATAGATATCCAAAGCACTCCATATAATACATGTAGGTAGAAAAAACACTCGCCATAGTCACAGTGCAATAACGTTTATAAAATTTATTCAAATAAACCCCCCATAAAACCGCACTCACATTGAGTCAAAAAGATTCAAGCATTTGTTAAAACTTTAACACATAAGAGCATCCAGCTCTATCAGCAGTGTCTCACCTGCCTGCCTGCAACCAAGATGGCGTTGCGATCACGTGGTCCGGACACGTTAGTTGGCGTGCGTGGTGACGTCACTGGTTAACCCCTAACGCGGTTCATCATACGACTTGAATGTGATTGCTTAATTCTGAACACAGCTACATCCCCAATTATAAAAGGGTGTGCACATTTATGCAACCATATTATTTTAGTTTTCTATGTTTACTCCCCCTAAAAGATTTTAGTTTGTTTTTCAATTGAGTTCTACAGTTTATAGGTCACATTAAAGGTGAAAAAAGTTCTGAAATTATTTATCTTTGTCTAATTTCTTTGCATCACAGAAACCTGACATTTTAACAGGGGTGTGTAGACTTTTTATATCCATTGTACCTTTCAATCGGAGAATAGCATTCATGACAGCTTCGCAGCATAGACATGTCCCACACTGAGCACTGGCTTACCTCTGTACATTAGCTCAGAATTGGTCTTAAAGTAGAGTTTTACCCAACGTGGAAGCTCCGCTTATCTGCCCCCCCCCCCCCCTCCGTTGCCACATTTGGTACCATTTGGGGGGGAGTGGGTACCTGGTTTTGACAGTTCACCTCCTCCTTCCAACCCGCAACCCTCTGGGATGTTTCCCAGAGGACTGTGGCCCATTCATGCAATTCATGCATGATTTGTCACTTGTATTGGTAATGTTATCAAACCAAAACTGTAACCACCACTGTAACCACCACTGTTGCCTGTACCACCACTCAGGAGAAGAGCAGGGACCCATGTGGAGAACAGGGAGTGAGAGAGTAAAAAGCAATGTGCAGATTATATAAATAAGCATGAATTTGCTTTTCACAAGAATAATTGAAGTAAATCTTCACTTTTTTAAAGTAAAGATTCTCAACTAAATTAGCACCAGTGTGTAGATTGACACAAACTGATTATCTGTACAGAATCTTTTGTACATAGAGTATACAATGGACCAGGAGACACATACTAAAAAGGTGAAGTTGTGATAGATATAACAAACTTTGCCCCATTGTAAAAGAAAGCATATCATTCTAGACCCAAGGTGGTCATGCTGCAGCAGCAAGGTCTATCCCATGCAGAATTTCCATATCAGACAGGTATTTCCAGATGTGCTGTTCAAGCTTTTTTGCAGAAGCACAGACATGCAAAGTTGAGGACTGGAAATTCTGGGTGCCATTCAACCCTGAAGAGGACCTGTGCTTGATCAGAGAGCAGTGAGTCAATAGGAATAGCACTGATGCTGTAGATAGGGTGCGTATTGCAGTGATAGCTGCTTTTTTATTTTAACATGTCATGGGAATTTTTTTAGTAGCTTGGAGTTGAGGTTTAATGTGTACAGAAAACCAAAAATGTGTGTTTTTTAATGTTAGTTCTAAAGCAGAGAGTTGTTAAAGCATCTGTCATGTTTTCATTGTTGTCTCTGTCCCTGGTTGGTAGATTTGTTTTTTTCCTGTTTCTGTCTGACCATTGTCACTTGGACTGAAAGTAGGGGAAAATCCTACATTTTAAAATTTTTATTACAGTAACAAAATTATAACAGGAACATAAATAGAGGGGACATTTTCCAATAGGAAAACAGTGACTCTAATAGGGATTCCCCTCTAATTGAGATTTATTCTTTCTTCCTGTTAGAAACACAGAAGGAAAAAAACCTGATGGCTTTTAACCATTTCATACACTATACAAAAGAAGAAAAAAAAAGTTTTGGCTTTAATATGTATATATACAAACCCGTGCTATATTTGTATTTGTATTTGTACCCATATAAAGTTTTACAATAATCTACTGGTGTAGCATCTGCCACTAGAGTAAATAAATGTTCTTTTAATGCAAATCTTTTTTTTAATGCTTTGTACCAGAATATAAATTTGTAGTAGTGACAGAACAATCAAAGAAGTTGCACTTTGTGTCTACAACAGATGTAGTTGTTTTAATACTATAATGGATCAAATTTGTAAAAAAAAAACATTTTTTTTTAGCTTCTGCTTGTTTTCTGATTGTGGGTGCAATGCTCTTCAGGTTCCAATGAAAAAAAAAAAAAAATTTACATTTGTTTTCTGCAAAAAAGTATGCATTTCTTTTTTTTTTCGCAAAGGTGAACTTAGTCTTTAATAGAGGTATGAGTCGGGGCTGCTGTTTTGTTGGTGGACCCAGTATAATATTTCCCTCTTCTTTACTGCGATCTGAAAAGGTAATCTGCTCAGGTCAGCCCAGCCAGCATTGTCAGAGGTGCTCTGATGGACATGAAAGAGGTGCCTGCCAAATTCAAAATGAAATTTTTATGCTGAGCTGGAGTTCCAATTGGGTTGGTCAAGGTAGGTGACAAGACCCCATACTTCACAGCCATAAAGGAGGATGGGGAAGATTTTATGCCAGACTCTTACCAGTGGTTTTAGGTGGTATTGATGCCTCCTGATGGCATAGAAGGTTTTGCAAGCCTTGTCTTTCAGGGACTCAATGAGTGGCTGGAAACTGCCTGATTTCTAAGCCAAGGTACTGTATATATATAGATGTTAGATTCATCAAGAGTGCAGTTGTTTAATGCAAAAAAAACCTCTTGATTTTTTTGTGTTATTCCTTTTCTTATGTATGGTATATATCTTATGTATGGTATATATCATGTTTTATCAGCAAAACCACATAGTTGATTTTAATCTTTTGCTACTGAAAGATTTGACCACAAGCTGGCATCATACATGACCGGGGCATTGTGTGATCATGCGAACCTGATTGCTACTACATGCTACTTGTGTAGCCTACTTCATAAGTAGCTATTTGTTAAGTCTGTTTAGCCATCAATTGGTGCTCATAATTATTAATCACTAGCAATGTAGAAATACGCTAAAACTACTAAAAATGTCCAGTGTAGCTCTAGCCTAATGAGATGACTGCCAGCAAGTGGTTAACTCTGTAGCAAGAGATTAAAATCTTCACTATGGCTTAATCCTTAGAAATAGTTTTATTTCCCATAGCCAGATTCAAGGTTTCAGGGCTGACCTGATGCTGAGTGGAGGCTGAATAGAAGTAACTTCATTTGTTAGTAAGAATGCTTTGTTACAAAGGGCTATTATACCCACTTTGGGAAATGTATTCCCTAAACTGTACTAATCTTTTTTTTAAAAAAAACAAGGTGGAAGGAATACATATTTTTAAAAAGGCATTCAATGCTCCTAAAAGTAAAAGTTTCTGAAACCACACAATATGCCATGTGAGATTGTACATTTGCTTGATTAGTTTTTGAAGTTGATTGTCTAAAGGCAAATAGGCTGTTCACTTTGCAAAGGAAGTTGCACTTCCACATACCAAAAAAACCCACAAGTTTTTCTTAGTTCCTGTTTTTAAATTTGAAAATTGATCAGTCTTAATGTACTGATTGCCTATCTCATTTTTTGAGCCCCCCCCCCCCACCGAATGACCTCTTTTTGTAAAGTAGATAGCCCAAGGTACTTAGTAAAAGGCACTGTGAGTTTTTTTAAGTTGCCATTTTTTAAGTCACAATTTTTGGGAAATTTTAAGAAATTAAATAAAAAATGTTTTTTTTCACAATTTATTTTTTACATACTGGTACTAGTGGGATGCTGAATGGTGACAATATGTAGAAAGAAAATAAACTTAACAAAAAAATATATTTGTTTAACATTTTAAACCTTTTATATTATTTTTTACATACTCTCTTCAGTATCACCATAGTAACACTGTACCAGGGGTGGACTGACAACTCATGGGGCCCCCAGGCAATAGGGGATCATGGGGCCCCTGTGTCCTTGTCTAAACTCAAAAAAGCCTATGAAAAAGGTACCAGGGGCATCTCATGGGGCCCCCTACTGATCCAGGGCCCTCGGGCAGTGCCCGAGTTTCCAAATGGTCAGTCCGCCCCTGCACTTTACTACTCTGGTTGAGTAATCAGGGTTTTTTTTGTTTACACTTTTATTGCTTATAACAGTGATGGATGGAGGCTTTCCATTCATGATAGCTTGCTTTCTGTTGACATGGTGCGATTGGACATGTTCTAATTGGCTACAGCTAACACAAGGCACAGGTACCATGGGATAGCTGTGGGCCAATCACAGTTTCATGATACTAAGCAGGCAGTCATGAAAGAAAACCATTCATGACTGTTTTGTTTACACATTATAATCATATGATCGCTGTGACCAATCACAACGATCACGTGATACCCCGACTGGTAGTGTGAGGTGCTGGGGACGCCCCAGTCCATTGCCTGGCCTAGCTGTGCTGCCCACTAGCAGTATATGTACAGTTAGCAGGTGGCAAGTGGTTGAAGCAGAATTAAACCTCCACAAGAAAACAATGAAATAAAAAATGGGCCCGAGGAGCTTTATGTAATAATGTGCTAGTATGCACAGCCTATTAGCACATTATAGCTGACTTTCCTTCAAACGATCATCTTTAGCACACCCGTCTGTCACGGATGCTTCCATCTTCTTCTGGTCTTCCTTATGGACCCAAACTCTTTCACTGCTTGATTGGCTGGGCTGC